TATATGTATCAAATATTTGTATTAAAGTGCACTCATTTATTCATGTATTAAGTAACCCATTCGGCATGTCTTTAATTTTGTGAATAGATTAGAATCGCTACAATTTTGTCAATTAAAATCATATTACTTCCATTATCAATTGCAAAATCTTTGTTTATGTCTAAATTATCGCTTACATTCTTGTTTTTGTCTACAAACCTACAACTTTGTCCTCCTGTCTTTATTAAGATGACATAAACTTCCCTGTCAGCAGCCATGCGACCTCACCACTGTCTCTGAATATTCTATTCTCACTTCTCTTGTATACCATGATTATTCTTGTGTCAAATATAATTTACATGTTTATCTTGCACTCAACAAAGAAGTCAACAACTATGAAAATATTAAAATTCCCATTGGTCTTCAATCGAGGTAAAAAAATATTTTTCTGTCACGGATGATTTTCCCTATTAAAGTAGCTGGTGACGTATATCCAAATCCGGGACCTTTGTCTTCATCCGCCTCAAGTGACTCGTTATAAAACATTTCATCACTGTCTTTCCTCATTGTCAGATTTGATAGTTTAACAGATTTATTTTTAACCATCATAATAATGCCCGAAGCATTTCAAATAAAAAATTCTGGTAACAAAGTGATCCCTCGGAAGCATTAATCACAACAAAATTACAAGAGAATTGCAGACTCGGTTTGATTGAGTCTGTACATGAGGGAGAATGAATACGTGCAACATCCCTCACGCCCCCTAGCACCGGCTTGAGCGGTACTCAATTCTCAACACTTAATAGTGCTGGCATCAATGATCCCGAAGGACCAGAAAATATAACAACACTGAAGTGAAGTACGGGGCAACTTTTTACAGCTGCCACACAGCACTTGACACCTGCTGTTGTGAAGTATAAAAATTCTGGTAACAAAGTGATCCCTCGGAAGCATTAATCACAACAAAATTACAAGAGAATTGCAGACTCGGTTTGATTGAGTCTGTACATGAGGGATAATGAATACGTGCAACATCCCTCACGCCCCCTAGCACCGGCTTGAGCGGTACTCAATTCTCAACACTTAATAGTGCTGGCATCAATGATCCCGAAGGACCAGAAAATATAACAACACTGAAGTGAAGTACGGGGCAACTTTTTACAGCTGCCACACAGCACTTGACACCTGCTGTTGTGAAGTATAAAAATTCTGGTAACAAAGTTATCCCTCGGAAGCATTAATCACAACAAAATTACAAGAGAATTTCAGACTCGGTTTGATTGAGTCTGTATAAAGACGATATCATTGAGGCCGAGTTTGTAAATTTTGACTTCAGTGCCTTTTTCAGGAACATGGCTCGATTCCGATACATCTTCTACCGACATTCGATACCTACCTCTCATCAACAAGAGAAAAAAAACACCAAAACGATAAGTCGTCTGGTGGGGTTGTCTATATATGAAAGACTCGTTGTATTTTAAAAAATTGGACTAGATCTAGAACCGCTAGGTCTTGACTCTTAAGTGAATATGGATTGAACTTATTCACTTCAGTGTTGTTATATTTTCTGGTCCTTCGGGATCATTGATGCCAACACTATAAAGTGTTGAGAATTGAGTACCGCTCAAGCCGGTGCTAGGGGGCGTGAGGGATGTTGCACTTATTCATTATCCCTCATGTACAGACTCAATCAAACCGAGTCTGCAATTCTTATGTTATTTTGTTGTGATTAATGCTTCCGAGGGATCACTTTGTTTCCAGAATTATGACTTCACCTTCAAAGCGAACTCTGGTAGCAATTTTCTGTCGCCCTAGTGTTTACAACATCAATTTAATCGAGCTCTCGCTTCGGTTATAACTGTCATCATTGTGACAGGTGACATCAAGTGTACAATCACCCTTAGGATAGTTTGCATGCCCTTTAAATTTGTCTTTTGACGTTTTGTCTGTGATATGCAGACTTCATAACCTCAGATCCCCTTTCAAAATTCCATTGTTTTTAGTTCCTCCCTTTGTTTTCTCGTTTAGGGCACACGCATTTTTTACTAGGGGACCATTAGCCGCTTTTCATGGAATGGAACGAAAGTGTCACATTGAAGGTTCCATGAACGCCGTATGAACGCGGATGTTTCAAAATTCAAAATTTCACCATTTTCGTGTTAAATGTTGAATTCTGCTTAAGCCGGTGCTAGGGGGCGTGGACGGTAGTTTGCACTTGACAGTACCATCCATGAACAGGCTCAATCAAACCGAGCCTGCACTATTTTCAATTTTGCCGTATCTAATTTAATGATTTTAATCTTCAAATGACAAGAACGCTACAATCACTCTGTTATCAATTCAACTTCAAACAACTAATAAACAATCTCATTCATGAAACAGAACACTCCTCTTCGATTCTTGACCTCTTTCTAGTTATTTGCAGCCATGATGTTGTCATTTCCAGTGAGAACCAATGTTTGATAAGCACCAGCGCTACCATCAACCAGTTTATGCATTGTTTATTTTTTAAGCCATCTACTAAGGCATGGCTGTATGAACGAGCCGTTATTTCATTTACTAAGAGATAAAATCAAATTTATCAACTGGGACCAATTTTAAGACAATTACATCAACAAATATGCATATCCGTTCCCCAAATCGCAAAAGAATGCATATCAACATAACTCAAAATAGTTAGCCAAAATACCTACCTTGGATAACTACACATATAAGAAAGTTCATTCTAAAACGTAAGAAATTATATCGTAATGCAAATTACAATTGTTTAATTGGAGAATGTGATCTTGATTTCCGTATCGTACCTTACCTATTTTATATATTGTAACTTTGAAATTATAAATAACGAGGGGTTAAAGAGAGATAATATTTGATATTAACCGACCGTGTTCATGTGACTGTGTAATATATCAGCCTGAATAGCTCAGTTGGGAGAGAGTTAGACTGAAGATCTAAAGGTCCCTGGTTCGATCCCGGGTTCCGGCGTGAACGGAATGTTCGGCGGCTGATCAACTCTTTTTATAAATCCCATTATTGTATATTTGATGTATCAATACATATCATAGATTTTGTTTTACACACAGCGAAAAGAAGGATTATCGAATGTGAGAGAATGAGATCTTTCTGAAAACACAGTATAAATACATGAATTATGTCAGCATCATAAAACATATAAATGTTTTATGCCAGAAATTTTATTTGTTATTTGAGCAACATTTTTGTCATAACCGTTACCAATAAAATAGGGCTATTCATACATATTGTGACACATTATATGTATATTTTGTGACTAAAAAGTGACTCAAAATGTTCAAAAACTTTATCTTTTAAGTTTTATGGAAATGTGTTCATTGAATGGCTTCCTTCCTTGTTGATGTTTGTTTTAATGAATAAGATCTTTTTATAATTTTGACAGATATTTCAATAAGTCAAGAGGCATGGTGCTTCAAATACTGCTTTATTTATCATTTTTATAGTTTTATGATCTTTAGAAGAACACATTTTATAATTTGTCAACATACAAAATGAAATGTATTTTTATATACATTGCCTAAAATAGCCATAACAAATCAATTCTTGTATATTACATAATGATAAAAATTCATGATAAAATTAAGAAAACTGATATTATAATTAGTGTCTTTTTCTTAAAGAAGCGTAACTATGATTTTTTTTATTTCATCGGTAAAGACAACATTAGGTCATCCTAAGTACGCCCCTCGTTCATTCAGCCGGTGATGTGAGACCATTTTAACCAGGCCCCTCAACTTACAAGATGGCATTTTTTTTCAACCACTAGAAAGAGTCTGATGTGCCGGAAAATGGAAATATTTGAAAATTGTTTTCTACGAGTCACTATGCAAATAGAAATTTCATGTTAAATGACAGATTTTACTCGGACAATATCGTACTTTACAAATTTTCTATATTTTGATACGAAAAACTTTACAAAATCTATATATAAATAACATTTCAAAAGAGAGATAATATTTGATATTAATCGACAGTCCTTTAGCTTTTGTTTTTATTCATCAGCCGGAATAGCTCAGTTGGGAGAGCGTTAGACTGAAGATCTAAAGGTCCCTGGTTCGATCCCGGGTTCCGGCGTGAACGGAATGTTCGGCGGCTGATCAACTCTTTTTCAAAAATCCGATTATTCTTCATTAGATACATCAATACATATCAAATATAGATATTGTTTTACCACAGTAACGAAAAGTTCTTTCCAATGTGAGAGTATAGGCCAAGGAGATTTTATCTTGCTAAAAGACATTAATTCCGTAAAAGATAAAAATTCCGAGGTACCACATTTTCTAACTCGCAATGTAGGTTATGTTAAGCTAACACACTTACCTCGCTATGTCAGATTGACAGACGCACAGACACACAAAATACTTAGGGTGACAATCCAGTTCCTGTGATGTGAACACTCTCTATCATAACTATGGTAGACAATAATAAAACAGAGAGTTTGTTCCTTTTGCTGTATGAACAAATAATTACCTTTTTAAAAGGGCACCTTTGAGTCTTGTTACGTTTTTAAATTAATAAATTATTTAAAGCATATTAGTTTGATTTCAGCTGAATAAAGAAGTGCTGAATGTGATTTTTTTTTGTCACAAAAGTAGCAAAATTGCAAACAAAGAAGTATTTTTGACTACCATACAAAATACTTTATCACAATAATTTAGGTAATTGGCCAATAAGTAGCTTTCTGGAAATTATAACACGACACCAAGAAATAAAATAAAAGCATTTCTTTGGCCCTTAGAGAATCCTTTTTCTATATTACTTTTGTAGTAAGAATTTATTAGATAACCAATGTCGTACAATATGACATGTGGCTATTTGACAACAACGACAACAAGAACAAAAACAATTCATGTACTAAAACTTCAAATTTAATGACAAGTGTCGTCTGATTCTTTATTACATGTTCTCCTTGACACTTGTAAATGAATTTTTTGTTTTTCGAAAAGCGATTACATCTTTCATCTAATCTTATTTAAACGGTAGCTCATATTATGTCTTGACCCAATGTTTTGAAATGCACGTTTCCTATCTTATCTTTCTAAAACAGGAGGACACTTTCGTTTGAACAAACAATTTTGTATTCATACCAAAGCTTATACGCGTAGTTCAGTAAAGGTAAGGCGTTAAATTTTGTATTTAGTAATAAATTAGTTCAATTTCTATCTAATTGGTACTGTGGCACAGAGGTGACATGTGTATATTTTTATCTATCTCGTGTGCAAGATATAATATGTCGTGGCCACGAGTTACTATGTCATGCACACGAGATGATTAAATGGGGCGCACGAGATACTATTTCGTGGCCACGAGTTACTAAGAATTTTCTAAGTTTAAGAAGTTCGTATATATAATTATAAGTGCACAACTAAGTAACACGTGGCCACTACAAAGTATCTCGTGCGCACCATTTAATTATTTCTTGCGAACGACTTAGTAACTCGTGGTTATGACATAGTATCTCTTGCGCACAAGATAGATAAAAACGCACAAATGTCACCTCTGTGCCACCGTAGATTGGACACTTTATCAAATAGCTTAAGATTCCGGTAACATATAACTTAAGAGTCATAAATTTCATTTTATTGTACATTGTATTATAATTAAAAAACTTTCGCAAATGTTATTATCTTTTCAGGTGTATTAAAGTATACTTTTACACTTTAGAACTTGTTTTTATTTGTTCTAGAAAGGCACCGGAATTATGCTGAAAGCTTTCTTCAAAAGAACCGTTTGGTTGCTATGGTTACTAGATGTTACATTCGCAGACTATGACTGTATGTGTAATTATAACGTAGAGACACCTGTTTACGCCACCGCTGTTACCGGTAGTCAACCACTGGGGTACCTTTACGAATTTGATTGCAAACCGTTAGCCGCAAATACACAGAACACAAATAACTTTTATACAGTGCAATTTGAGAAACAGGTAATTTGTTATTATCATATCATACAAATTGTAACACAAAGTTAACTGTGCATTTTCTAATAAAATGACATACCTGTTGGTAGACTTAAAACTTGTTTTACACCAAACGCTAAACTTGTTACATGCTTCACACTCGAGTTACATTTTCAAATGTTGACTATATGTAACTCGAAAATACTTGCCACTCGACAATACTTGACACTCCTTCCTTAAGTTAAAGGTGAATATAAACCGTTTAAATGGGATACTTTCTCTTTCAAGTACCCTCCTTAGAACGATTTGTTTGTTTGTTTCATTTTACGCCCTTTCCCAACAGTATTTCAGTCATATAGGCGGGTAGTTTCCTAATCATCGTTCCTGGAGTGGAATACTAGTAATAGACAACCTTCATCCGTGCTAAACTACCAAAGCATCTCGAGGGGATCGAACCCACGCCAGAGAGGTAACTGGATTAGAAGTCATCGACTCTAACCCCTCGACCACGGAGGCGGTTTACCTCAGAAAGAATGAGGTCGAATGAGGTGGCGTATGGGCATTCAATGTGAGGGTGAAAGTGTAAATAAATGATGTTCCATAAAAGAACCTCCAACTAACAATAAGAAGACCACGGATACTTTTAGAAAAATATTCATGCTGTTATTATTGTAACTATTGTGGTATTTCAGCTTGGTTATGTTGAGAAGAACGCCCAAGAAAAAATTCAGATGTGCCCAGGACATCCCCCGCGTGCTGATTTAAGTAAATTTCAGTTGTTAACTTTCTTTATATAAATTTAAACGAATATGTAAAAAAGATTGTGATATTCAGTTTGATTTGATTAAACGGGGTGTTAGTGACGTTGTCATTGGTGTATTCAAAGAAACACATGTTTCGTGTGGTCCTTGAATTATGTAATTATATGTCCCGTTGAGATTTAACAGATATTTGCGAACATACAAAAACGTAAAATATTGCTTTACACGCTTTCTAACGCTATATTCTTCACTCCGTTAATAAGTTCTACAAAATAGATTAATTGCAAACAGTTCCTCGTTCAGATTGCACTAAATGTATATTATGTATTGCTTAAATTGTAAAACAGTTCCTCGTTCAGATTGCACTAAATGTATATTATGTATTGCTTAAATTGTAAAAACAATACAAACAGTATCAACAAGGACCAATACAGGACTGCCATCAAGGAACATCTCTTCTGTTAAAATTGTGTTTGTAAGAACGTTGTCTATGAATCTAAAATGATCGTCAATTTCAGTCCCAACAATCACAACTGCTGCTGGATCAATCGGAACTGTTGTTACTTCAAATACTGCAACACAGTCAACTTCAGCTGCACGCTTATCTACTACTAACTCACCTACAACTTTAACGATATCTTCTACTACTATAGCTGTTACACCTCCCTCAACTACACCATACAGTTACTGGCTAATGGCAGGTATGAGGCAGTGGTATTCGTCAAATATTTAATATTTTCATTATGATTTGTCCGGTTTATTTATATTCAATGTATATTATCTTTCTTACTTAATACAGATTTTATATTGATTTCGATTATGTAGGATTCAGATAGCTTATAGAAATACTTCCGAATCCGTTCCTGGAAACAATCAGTACTTAGCAATGGGCATAAAGTTTCTTGCTAAAGAAAAAACAACGGCTTATCCATAAATGGGCTTGAACCCACGCGGCCAGCAAATCTAAGGATTCTAGATCGACAGGTTTACTACCGAGCCATGACGCGATACACATTGCTATCGAATTTACATATTTTGTCTTGTAAGCTATCAAATGGGGTAATTTTTGTGACACTTGTGGTAAGATATTGTCTATTGTTTACAGCAAATGTGACAGGGACACCTTTACAGTACGTTGGCATCGGGTACAACCTATTGACCGGAAATCCTGAGTCCATCAGTGACCCTGGATTTAAAACCTCAAGTAGAATATTTCAGGTAGGAAATATGAGTGAAAATTATTATCGTTTTGTTGAGTCAAAATGTAAAACTTTAAACATAGAAATACTTAAATGTTTGGCTTATTTTAAGTATTCATTCAATTTGCCATAATTGATTGGCAAAGTCGTGTTGGAAGATTATGTTTAAAGAACATCCAATTTGAAATCTTTATTCAAGCAAAGTCAAATGTCTAACCATATTTATTTGCAAGGTCAAAGTGGAAAAATATATTTAAATTATGCTGTAAAAGCTGCTCGTGTAACCTGTAAATGTCACAGAAGTTGCTTTTACTTGTTAATGAAATAAGGGAAGACTTTTATATAAATATATCCTAAAAAGGATTGAAATTAATCAGAATCGGAGTAGGCGTTGCTATGGGGATAAATCAAACATAACTCACTGTGTTTTTTTACAAGATGGGTCATATGGATGGTGCTTTTGACAATATAAGTTTTGTTAAACAATTTAAATTACGTCTTTTAAGAACACAAATGCGTCATTTTCAGATATATTAATTAACCACTCAAAAACATTACAAAGACACAACACTAAGTATTAATTAGTACTTATATGAGAATTATGATATGTAATCATTTTCTATAGTTGACAGGTAATTCTAGCTCTGTTAGAGAAGTGTTATATCAGGAAACATCAACTTGTACGACTCACAAATTTAATACATTTATCCATGGCTCTAAATCTTACCAGAACGAACTGCTACAGTTTGTGAATCCAAGCGGTAAGTTGACTACATTTTTCTGTAGACATTTGAGTGAGGATTGAATAAAGAACAAAATAGTTTTAAAATGTAAGAAATGTTCTTCTTTTATTTATCTCTCTCCCTATCAGCATCAGAAGTTCAAATTATGATACTTCGTTGTCAGTCATTCTGCGGATGTTTCTAAATTCATAATGTCATTAATTTCATGTTTTAAATGATGAATTCTGCATAGGCCTGTGCTACAGGACTTGGACGGTAGTTTGCACTTGACAGTACTGTCAATGAACAGGCTCAGTCAAACCGAGCCTGCAACAATTTCAACTTTGCCGTTTTGGACTTACTTTAAGAATTCTTTTCCTCTATTTTTAAGTTTTTGAATATCGAATTCATTGGTTATCCTCATTTGTCAGTCAATGGATCTCCTTCACTGCTCTGGGAAATTCCATTTTATGGCTATGCCATTTGTTTTATCGAAATTTTGTTCTTTTCAGGTCCAACATGGGCCCGCTTTTATGTCTTTATAAACATATAACAGCAGTTTTACAAATAAGTAAAGGAATGCACATAGTAACTCCCAAGCAATTTTAATAAAATAGAATCCTCTAATGTGTCTATCATCTCGATTTTATTTATTGCAGCCTCACATGATTCCAGTTTAACTGAATCAGCGTTCACCTATAATGTGGCGTTTGAGTCATTTAAAGATAACGTTGACAATAGTAGCAACTTTTACATGGACGTCATTAGTAATTGCAAACTCGGCAGTGCACTGTATAGAACTGATCTTGCTGATAAAAACAATTTCACGATCACTAAGGAATTCGCCAAAGATATTTGCTCCTTGCCAACGGACGGAAATTCCACTGTAGAGTATATGGCGTTTCTAGATAAGTGGGGTACGGTGAGTATTTAACTATTCTTTTGTCTAATTCGGTAAAAGTAGTTCAAGGATTTCGAACTTTGTTCGTTATTTGTTAATGTAAATTTACCTATGTTCAAACGTTGAAATAGTAAAACCTTTTAAATTAGAGCAGACAGACATAAACTTACATAATAAAAATACTATATAGCTATTTGACATGAATTTGAAACATTTATTGTCCACTTATCCCGTAAAATGTACGTTTATATATTAATTTCCAAAATGAACTGCGGTCGATACCATTCAGAACAGCCGTAGAATTTTGTAACATTTACCAACGCATCTATTGTATTACAGAGCATAGTGACACAGGTAGACATTGGAGAGACGAGTATTGAACGATACCATACGACAGCCGACCAGATTATAAAGAACACCCAACTTCTGGTAATACAAATAAAATATCCTCATAGATTGAATAACTTAGTTTGGTTATGTGATGTTGTAGTTCCATAAGCACGGGGGATGAATGTGAAGGTTGAATTGCACGATTTGATTTTGTAAAGTTGTAGTCTCATGAGCACGGAAGATGAATGTGAAAGTTGAATCGTTCAATTCGATTGTGCACATTTGTAGTTCAAATTGACCGGAGAATGATTGTGAAGGTTAAATTGCTCGATTTGATTAGGTAAAGTTGTAGTCCCATGCGCACAAAGGATGAATGTTTATACAACTTTATCGCTCAAGCCGGTGCTAACGTGCGTGCGTGCGCGAGGGATGTTGCACTTTTTCTTTCATTTTCCCTCATTTACCTACTCAATTAAACCGAGTCTGTAAATTTCATGTTATATTGTATTAATTAAATAACCGAGGGATAACCCTTTTTCCAAATTTCCATGCAATCCACGAGCGCGAAACAGAAAACCAGAATAGCTGTCTTATTTTTACTGTATACTTGTTTTGTATTCCTTCTGTAAATTGTAAAAGTTCGTATTCCTTCAGAAATGTTGAGTATATTGACCTGCCAAATTCAACATTACCGGGCATACTATGCGTTTATAGCGGCTATAAGAATATTTAAACAACAAACTTTCTTTATCAGTGAAAACAGAAAAAAATACTTCATAATTGACTGCAGTCATGTATATATAGTTTATATAAACGTCACGATTGTCCAATTAAATGCGACGTTTCAAACATGCAGTATTTATTATAAAATAGAAACAGACGGAATCCCTAAAGAACGCCCAAAACGAAAGGCAGCCTCGGTTTGATCGAGCCTGTACAGTATTTAAATGAGCAAGTTACCTTCACGCCCCCTAGCACCGGCTTAAGCAGAATTCAACATTTGAACACACAAATATTTAGGCATTATTTCACTTTTTTATCAAGCCCAATGTACACTAAAGCAATGTTTATCACGTGCATTGAACATGCGCGATAATATTATAACAGAATTTTCACATATTGCATTTTTTTGTGTGTGTGATTGAAGAATGCTGACTTCTATTAAAAAAAACCTAACATATTGACCAATATCTATAGGCCCCTCAATTTTATTTCTTTTTATAGGCTCCGGACCTTATTGAACACAAAGGTGCATATCAAGGTTACAAGTCGTCATTGAGTATCAATCCCTCAGACTTTAAGAACAGCCCTGCTGCTGCTAATCCATTCGGAACACATCAGACAATATCGATGGGGACATCCCAGCATCCAGTTCCGGTTGGAGCTCAGTTGGTTCCGATCTCTGACGCATTGAATTGGATATATTGGGAACCGGTATTTATTATACTTTGAAGTACACACTTACTTTGAAGAAGAAAAATAATTGAAAAAAAAAATAACATGTAGAAGAGAGCTTTAGATACGCTAACTGAAATATATATACGAGGGCTGACTAATAAGCTGCCTGCGTCTTTGAAAAGGTTTGCTTTTGGCGAACATATTGCATTATTTTCCATCATATAAATCACTGATTTTTTTAGCAAGTTTATCTATATTGAAAACGTCACTTGCCTTATCTACGTCCTCGAGTGTACAGCTTTAAATGATCAGTAGTAGGGTTTAGAAAGGCACACAACTTTACAATACATAAAATGGAGGTTAACACTAAACACAGTACAATCTTGAAACTGCTGGAATTTAATGTCATAAATTTTAACAAAAATTATGTAAAATATACTGTTGACAATTGTCAATCAAAAAGTTAAAGCGTAAAATAAGACACTTATTTAATAACTGCAACACTTAATTATTATCTAAAAGATTTTAATCCAACAAGCAAAATGCAGGACTAACTCAAAGGATTCCTACTCTCTTTTGGAAAACCCATTATTGCAGAGTAAAACAAAAACATGAATACATACCTTTTTTATTTTACTGCTAAAGGAGATAGAAATTAAGTTTGCATAAATCTTCAACACTATTTGTAAGATTTGCAGATACATTTTTCCTTGTTTATTTCATTTCATATTTAGAGTCAAGGGTTTATACGTGAAATATTTGTTCATCAAAAATATCTTTCCTTATCTATGTTTTGATTCTGAACCATCCTCGGTAACCCTATACCGTATACCAATTTAAAATGTAGTATATACGGAATGTGTACCGTTGGTTCTGACGATGATCCTGAACATAAGATGCAATAATTATATATTTATGGCAAAACTTCCTCTGAAATACTGATTAATACTCTAGATTGTAGATGAACTGATGGCCGAAGGTATTTGTTCCGACAGTATATATGGGACGGGCATGAAACACTATTTGAATTATATTCAGACGGCACTTAGTCAGTATGTTGGACATACGGATTCCAAAACAGGAATTAGTCACACTCCTTTAGGTAGTGTATTAACTTTTATTACGTTATTTATCATCAAATATAAAAATAATTTTATATAAGGTATAAGCACTGCATTTGGTTTATGTGCGCGAGAGTCTGTGTTTGTTCGTGGTGTGTGTTGAATTAGCTTTTCATACAAATTACCATTTCAAATATATGCAATTTTACATACTCTGACTTATGTGTTAGAATGAAAGAAGAACAAGCAAACTAGCAAGTAACGTAAAAGAACCGTAACTCGGCAGAGTCCGTAAATCGTCATGTTTTTATTTTGTTGTCTCCCTTTCTATCACGTGAGCCGAAAGTTTTTGAGCGGGCATTTTTTGAAAGGTAAACAGTTTATTTATATTATGGTTTTTATTTTATATCTATTAAATACGCATCGTCCTCGCAAATGACCATAAAAAAATCATCCCAAAAACATGCTTTTCTTCTTCTCTGTCGACGACAACACTCAAATTCAGGGGTCTGTGGCGAAGTGGTATTCCGTACCATGCAGACGATTGATTATCGAAGGAAACACGTGTTGATGTTCTGGAATATTATATTTTGCAGCAGTGAGCTCCCTTTGATTAAAAACTGCTCTTATGCATAGCTTTTGATATAGAAAATAATTGACGACTCCGGGATCCTATTGACGAGTTACTGTTACCACCACTACTATACTTATGTTCTTAATTTTTTCAATAACAGTAACTATGATATAGATGTAAAGGCAGTGTTTAGCCAAGATTCTTTGTTGTTAGATGTCTATATTATCATAGCCTTAAACAAACAAACAAAAAACATTAAATTTGACAATTCTTCAGATACATATGTGATATACAGATTCATGATAGAGCCGTTTCAAAGTGATATATAAAATATATAAATATAAAAAATAAAATATTTGCTATAATCAATTTGTAGACATGATGGCCCAATGCACTGAGACATCTGAACAGCTCAAACCTAAGCGTGCAGCACGAAGATGGAAACTAGAAAGTATGACGGCGGCTTACAGAGCAGTAAAATCTGGGTCAATGAATATTCACTCAGCTGCTGTAAGGTTTGGAGTTCCCAGAATGACACTGTCTGATAGAGTGAAAGGCAAAGTTAAGATGGACGCGAAATGGGGTAACAAGACTGCACTTACGGCTGAAGAAGAAAACAGTTTAGTGTCTTATATTGAATACATGGCCAAAAGGGGGTTTCCGCTAACAATACCTCTTGTCTCCGGATTTGCGTGGTGTATTGTCAAGCAGAGAGGGAAAGGCGACGTATTCACTAAGTGTGGTCCCACCAAGAGATGGTGGCAAGGTTTCCAAAAACGCCATCCACATCTTCGTTTGCGCAGACCTGATTCCCTTGATCGAGGAAGATCATCGATGGGAAATGTGTACTCCCTTCGCGAATACTTTGCACTACTTAGGGATACGCTGGACTACAATGATCTTCATTCAAAACCTCACCTGATTTTCAACTGCGATGAGGCAGCCATTAATCTTAACAAGTCCGCTGGCCAGAGGGTAGTCGTACCAAAGGACCAGAAGCATGCTCATAGTATCTCCTCAGCAACGAACGAACATGTAACTGTCCATTGCTGTGTCAATGCCGCTGGTGGAACGATACCTCCGATGGTAATATTTACGAAAACTTACCCTGGAGGCCCATATCACAAGAAGGGACCTGTCAATGCCACATATGCTGTGTCAGACACAGGCTTTATGGATCAAGAGTTGTACTTTCAATGGTTCCAGAAAACCTTCCTGAAGTACGTTCCACCCGAACGTCCCCTGCTGCTTATACAAGATGGAGCCAGCTCGCACATGAGTTGTCCTCTCATTCAAAGCGCCATAGCAAATGATGTCATCATCCTTTGTCTTCCCCCGAAGACCACCCACATTACACAACCTCTTGACGTGGCAGTGTACCGCAAAATGAAAATAGAGGCTGCAAAGATTATGAGTCAAGCAAAATTAATCAAATCCGACCTCTGGGTAGCAAAAAGGAATGTGTCGGCCATGTTCAAGCTTATCTATGAATCGAGCTTTACCATGCGCAGCATAACAGAGGGGTTTCGCAAATGTGGGATCTATCCTTTTGACCCGAACGCTATAGACAAGACCTTGCTGCTTCGTTCGTGTGATGTGGTAAACGAGGAGGACATAGATCTCTCAGTTAGTACTGATGACGCCAACGTTAAGTCTGAATCTATTCCTGGGTGTGTTGGTGACACACCTATGACATCAACACCTAAAAGGTTGCCAAGTGGAAGCGAAGACGTAGCATTTGATGTTAACATCTCTACATGCTCTAGTTCTACAGACAACCAAGGTTTTATGTTTGATGACATCACCTTTGTAGTAGGTGAAGACGGATCACTGACACTTGCTAGTGTAGAGCCTCAACCAATCAATGATGTTGAAATGGCTGATGGTAATAGTACAGAATGCCCCCCTGAACTGGCCTTGGCAGCTGTTGAGATGACACTAACACCAAAGCAAAAGAGGCGTTACCATGAATGCTTGAACTTTAATATTGATTTGCCAGATGACAGAACCTATCAAATATGGAAGGTTTTGAAGGAAAAGGTTGTTGCCCTAGAACCAATTGAACAAGAAAATGAAATACTTTTTGCTAGGAAACTAGAAGGGGTTGTCTCTGAAAGTACAATTGCCAAGCCATGTATACAGCAGAAATCGCCTCAAGAAACGATTAAAATGCACCCACTCGTAAAAGCAGGGCTAATATCTGAAGATCTCGCAAGATGTTTTGATCACGCCAACTTTTGATGCTAAGTGCAAAATCTACTCCTGGTAGTAAAAGGGAAAAAGAAAGCGCGGATTGTAACGACAAAAGAAGTCGAACAAGAACTGATTGAAAAAGAAAACATAAAAAGGAAAAGGAAGAAAAGTCTAAAAATAACAAGCTGAAAAGGATAGAAAGAAAGGTAGCATTAGAGGCGAAGAGAGAAGAGATACGTAAGAAGAAAGAAATGAGGCTGAAAATAAAACAGGAAAAAGAGAAAATCAAACAAGAGAAAGAAAATGTCAAGAAAGCAAAACGAGTTAAGCGAAAAGTTGTCTGACTCGGAATGTAATACCAATTGACACAGGAGGCATCAAGTGAAGTTAGATGATATGAATATTGCGGCATCTGCCACTGCAATAAGTGTTATAGAAAAACAGAGACAGGAAAACTGATCAAGACAAGGAAGGAAAAAAGGTGCTCAGATAACGGAATTTACATTTAGTAAAAACATTAGGACTGATATTCAGGATTGATACATGGTTAATGTAGATGAAATTGAAAGCTTCTACTTAATTTCGTGTTATGAATGTACAACAAAAGCTTAATAATACGGTGGCAAAGAGGGAACATGTGTAACATTATTGTCATCTCGTGGCTACGATATATTTATCTCGTGATCACGAGGTATTATATCGTTGGTCCGACATATTTTTTCGCGTGACCACGAGATAAAATGATCTGATACATGTCACCTATAATGAAATATTTTAACCATTTATTAACTTGCATTTCAATTTATTTCAAAGTTTTGTTTGTTTGTTTGTTTGTTTTTCAAAACTTAATTAATAATTGCAGAAGTGATGAACTCATGGCCGTACTTTCCTGTAATTAATACCATTATCTAATAGCTGCTGCATGAATTTTACAAATGCATCATTGTTTGCTGGTTAAAGTAACGTTTGTGTAAAAAGATTATTATAACGTAACACGTTGATGTTGTTTAGCGCATTCTAAATGAATTTTGATCAATAAAATGCGTTTGCTTACTGTTTATAGGTTTTATTTTGAGATTTTTTTAAAACATACAACAATTGACGAGTTAAGGATCATACTGACGACTAAATGTCACTGGTACTGACGAGTTACGGTTGTTCGACCCTTTAACTCGTCACCGGTTACCCTACCTCATTTAGAGAGCATTTGTGACATGTTTCTTCAAGAAATCAGACTATGAAAGGTTGGAAAAGGTACAGAAAGGGTACAGGTTTATTTTTAGACAAAATATGAAAATAATATTTGTCACATTCCCCGTTTGGAGCCAAAGATATAGCTAAAAGCGACGACTTACGGTTCTTTTACGTTAGTGACTGTAAACTGGATACTCTTGAAGCTTTTGGCTTACTAGATGCTTAAAATTTGTCTAACACGGTACCATAAAATGTTCTCGTACATCATGCCAATTGCTGCTCTCCATTTTCGATTGGCAACTACTTTGCTTCGAAATAAAAAATATAATTGAACCCTCGTTATGAAATATGTATCATTTCATAGATCACGGCATACAAGTTCCCATTACTTGGCCTGTTGGTACGTATGGTTTGATGCAGACTGCACATGGATGTCCAGCCGATCAGACGGTCTGGTTGTCTGGATGGAGAAGACAGGATACTGAAGATTTGAGGTCCAAGAATTCTTTCTCGTCAAGCATTGCGTCCTATATGAAAGGTAAAAGGATTTTCAACTTAATTTATGTCTACAATGATTAATTTTCAAAGTGACAACTTTCCTGGCAAAGTTGGTGTTAATTATTTTAGGAACCGGTAGCTCTTGAGTGAAACTGTTGACAATTTGAATTTAGTTTGGTTATTGATTCCGTGCACTTAAAGGAACTCCAATGAGGACGAAAAACCTGAAAACAAAACAACAAAAGATGATTTTCTTACAAAGATAAGCTGGAGCTCTTAAAACGGAAAGATACGCAAAAGATAATTAAGAAAGTCTCTAAAACAGACTGAAAATCGTATTTTTGTGCTTTTCTTAGCCAGATTTGAGCGTATTTTTGGTCATTTTCCATATTTACAATAATCAATCTGGAACAATGGAATGAGCGAAAGATCTAAGATGTCGCACACAAGTTATTGTTGTATACGGACTTCAAATGGAAAAAAATTTTTTTCCAAATTTTTTTTTTTTTTTCTCGGGAAAAAATATTTAAAATTTTTTCAAGGGTTTCCCCCTTTTCCATTTAAAAAAACCTCAGTGGAGCTCCTTAAAAAGTTACTACAGCTTAATTTGATATTTTGGGCTTGAGAGTTGTTGCGTATCTGAGCTTGCTCAATCAAATTGAATTTACATTTCTTTACCTTTTATGTTTTTTTTATAATTGTTTTCGAGGGACTTTGCCCTTTAGCAAATAATGCTGGCTTCTTCACTCTAAAGCAGTCATAGTATTAGGCAAAATTTGAATTCATATTGATACGAGGCCAGGGAATGAAAACAGATACAAAGATCACACAACCCATAATTATTCAGTCAGTCGATCTGATAGTGGTGTTGGTAGTTTACCAGTAAGCCTAATTGAGTTTACCCGAATATAGTTGATATCATTTAAAGAACTTAAACGTATGTACCGCGTCTACAAAGCTATTTCCAGGGCAAGTTTTGAAGGGAATGCACTGAGGTTTTTGGACCGAACGGAGGTAAAATATTTTTGATTGTCTTTAAATATGTTAGCTCGTCAGGAGGCGTGCAGCTTTAAATTAACCTTTTAACTTAAAAATATACGGTTGAAATTACAGGAGATTTCGCCAGTAACAATATTAAGACCTACTTCTGTATGAAGAACAGACCAACGATAACAGCATACGATCAATCTTGGCAAGAAGGTTCATACTGTTTGCTGAAACACGGCTCGTGTCCAAGAGGTAAATATAACAATAACTGGGGTAGAATATATCACGAGTATATCGTTTCACTCTAACATTTACAAACCATAGCTGTTCAAAGAACACAAAGGAAAGTCTTTGTAATCTGAAATAAATGGCGGAAAGTGATTTTGCAAATACAGTAGAAGTTGAGAAAACTGGACGGCTTTTGGACCGAGGATGTTGTCCAGTTTTTTTCAGCGGTCCGATTTTCTCAATGTCCCCTTCTGGGTCATATGTACCGAGCAATGAATTGCCACCAATGCCTGTATATTTGCATTCTCATGATCATAATTATGTAGGTTTTTTTACTAAATAAAGATATGATGAAATACAAAATATTGGTAATATGTTTTATTTATTTTTGTTCCATTATTGCATTATACATGTACATACAATAAAATGTTTGGATTTAAAATATACAGCAGTTATCTTATTACGATAAAATCCGATATTTCCACATACATGTATGTTTACATTTGTGAACTGGAAAATGATTTAACGATTTAAAGTGATTTTGCAAATACATAGAGCTATATGGCTTAATATCAAATCACTTGTAGGACAACAACAACAAAAATAATAAAGTTAATAAAATATTTCAGATACTTTTTACATGAAATTACGAGTACATAGCAAAATATAGGAAATGCACAAATCTGTTAATTCAAGAAATGTATGGTTTTTTAATAAAGGATTTTCTAGTGGATACGTGTACTGGGACGACGAAGATCTGAACAACGACAATTCAAGGGGCGGAACTCTTCCAGACGGTACATACGACAAGAACACGAAAATCTATTACTGCTGCAGGTTCAGACTTTATTTAGTTACACTGTTTTGTAGTAACTATGGTCACAGTGGATAAACGTAGTCACTGTACCATGTCTTGTAGTTACTTGCAACTCCATCTTGAAAATTCTAAACTGTACTGTAACCGGAATGCGCGAAACTGTAACACGTTCCCTACGGTGAAATTGCATACTGTTTCTAGTTTTGTGTTTTTAGCTGCTAAATTTTCGCCATAATTTTCCATAAGTTTTTTTTCCCGGTGTTCTATTACACGTCCTGATGACATTCATGGTAAATAAATTATTTATCTAATAAAGAGCAATTAAATAATATATCTACAGTATTGTAATAGGACTGTTGCAAAAAGAAGAATTCATAATGTTTTCAGGAACGATGGCTCCGTCACTACACCACTTCTATTACCCACGGAAAAACCGTTCATACTCGTGCGTTATGGTAGAACATGTCAGGCTGTGCACGGAATGCACGTGCGTAACCTGTATATACACTGGGATGACGAGGATCTAGGGAACAAGGACAGCTCAGGTGGCATGCACCCCCTGGACGACGGAGGGTCACACAACCACCAGCTGCATTACTGTTACTACTTCACATCTAGTGCTACATCTATTGTTGGCTAAAATGTTTCCGAACGAAATGTTCATCCGGAATAAATGTTGACAGCACTTCTTTGTATATTGTTTTAACAAGATTAACACTTAACCTCCTGCATTTGCCCTGATTTAAGTTTAGAACGTGTAATTTAAAATAGTTAGTATTTGAGAACAAATGACCAGTAAGGTAAGGCGACGTTCAAAGAACGCAACCGGCGTTTTAGGCATTTCAAAATCAAAATAATAATAATAAACCACTAAAAAGTCTATTTAGATGTGCAGACAGTCTTGGTTTAATCTGGACGAAATGGCTTATCAGTGACGTACGATTTTTTTCCCAAAAAACTTTGGGAGACATATTGTTTTTGCCTTCGCCGTCTGTCTGACCGTCCATACAAACCAGAGCTACATTATGGGGTTTGGTCTTATGTTCTCATAACAATAGATGTCTTTGATGTCATTCATTCCGTTTAAATTCTCTTGTAGGGTTATTTTTTGCATTGTGGGGTTAAAAAGAACAAAAGAAATAACAAAAGAAAACCCCATATTGTAGCTCTGGTAAGAATGTCCGTCTGTATGTCCGTCCGTTCGTTGTCCGTCTGCATAAAACTTGTCCGCCTTTCACAGGTCAAACAACTGGTGGGATTTTAACCAAACATTACAGAAGTGATCAGTACCATCCCTAGTTGTGCACATCACCCGCACGTTCAGCTTGGCTGCACAAAATGGCCGTCAGAGCTAAAAATACAAAAATCTTGTCTGTCCTTCACAGGTCAAACTACTGGTGGGATTTCAACCAAACTTTACAGAAGTGATCAATACAATCCGTAGTTGTGCACGTCACCCTCACGTTCCGCTTCGCTGCACAAAATGGCCGCCAGAGCTAAAAATAGAAATATCTTGTCCGCCCTTCACATGTAAATCTACTGGTGGGATTTCAAACAAGTTTTACAGGAGTGATCAGTACAATCTCTTGTTGTGCAAGTCATCCGCTGGTCCTGCTTCGCTGCACAAAATGGCCGCCAGAGCTAAAAATAGAAAAATCTTGTCCGCCCTTCACATGTCAAACCACTGGTGGGAATTCAACTCAACTTTACAGGAGTGATCAGTACTATCCCTAGTTGTGAAATCTTCCACACGTTCTGCTTCGCTGCACAAAAATGGCTGCTAGAGCTAAAAATAGAAAAATCTTGCCCGGCCATTACAGGTCAAACTACTGGTGGGATTTCAACCAAATTTTACAGGAGTGATCAATACCATTCCTATTTGTGCACGACACCCGCATGTTCCGCTTCGCTGCACAAAATGGCCGCCAGAGCCAAAAATGATAAAATCTTGTCCGCCCTTCACAGGTCAAACTACTGGTGGGATTTCAACCAAACTTTACAGGAGTGATCAGTACCATCCCTTGTTCTGCATGTCAACGGCAAGTTCTGCTTTGCTGCACAAAATGGCTGTCAGAGCTAGAAATAGAAAAATCTTGTCTGGCTTTCACAAGGCAAGCTACTGTTGGGATTTCAATGAAACCTCACATGAGTGGCAATAAATAGTTTTGGGAGACAAAAACCCTTTTAGTTATCTATAGGTCCTCTACCAAAGTTGTTCCAATTATATCCCTTGGGTCAAAATTGGCCCCGCCCCGAGGGTCATAGGTTTTCCTTATATGTATAAAGTAAAAACTTAAAAATCTTTACCTCTGAATTGACAAAGATTAGAGGTTAGATATTTGGCATGAGGCCTTGTGTAGTGGAACTCTGCCAATGCTGTTCAAATTATAGCCCTAGGGTTAAAATTGAATTGAAGACCGTGTAACTTCACTTTTGTATATCAATTGCATTTAGTACTCAGGTGAGCGCATTGAGGCCAATGGCCCCCTTGTTTATATTTTTAGCAGAAACTTTGGTTATTCCAAACGCCTTTAACGTATGATTTCAAAAAGCAAACATTTAAATATTTTCAAATAGGACTTTAACCATTTAAAACGTTGTTACACATTGAATTAAAAGTTTTGTAATACATTACATTAAAAGCGTATTCACACATTGCATTTCAAGCGTCGATACTACTTTGCATTAGAAGCGTAGTTACTCATTGCAATACAAGCGTATTGATGCACTGATTTACACGAATTATATTTGATATATTTCTTTTGTTAAGGCCAAGGTTTTTGTTTAACATTATCCTTATCTGTCCTAATTTAATGTTGATTCTATTTATACATGTATATTATGCATTAAATAAGGTCTTTCTTATCTTTCTTCAAACAAAAGAAATAATTTACAACATGGACGGGCGATGTTATATATTTTTTCTGCTGTTGACAACAGGTATGATTTTTGTACACATTTTAACACAAAAAACTTATTGGCATATTAAATGCCGTATCATCTGTAAAAGTAAATAGGCCGTGCTGACACTCACTTAATTTGTTTAAAGATATACTATGCTCATCTTTGAGTAAAATAAATTTATTAAATCCTATGAAATTCTTACTGATTATGTCTAATTTGAATCAAAAATGAATAAAACTATACATTGGAAGTCACATTCTCTATTATAGGACAAGTAAAGTTGGTCTTTTCTTTAAAAAACTGCCAGTTTTTTTAACGACACTATATATTCATATTTTGACGACCTATTGTGTGTAGAGTTTTAAATATGACATATCAACTTTGTGTAAAGTCAAAACATGTTTATTTCATATCTACAAAGAGACTTTGTAGCAATTATCAATTTTTTCTGATATCAAATTTGAGCAAAGTATATCTTTAAGGTTTATCTATATAGTCATGTAGTCACATATGGACAAGCAATTATTATGTCATATATACATTTGCCTCATCAAGAACATGCGTATCTGACTCCGAGATTTCGTGTTCAACCAACTTACAGTACATAATATGATAAACTACAAATATGATAAACAATATCAACAAGAAAAGGCGGCGTTCAACGAATGCAATTTTAGTGGAAATTCCTCCACAAACATTTATGGGCTATTCATTGGTGAAAATATGTTTAAAAATATATGATCCTTTTTCCTTGTGTTGTTTGAAAATTTCATTTAAGAACTTTTGTTTTTTAAGCAACAAAGATCCAATATGGTGCAGGTGAAGATGACCATCACCATCACGATCATTTTGCTGATTGTAATGGCCATGACTGCAAGGATGTAACTAAAGCTCTAGAACACATCGGCAAACATTTTGACAGTCATCTTTGTCAAGTGTTCAGTCACGTGGATTGTTCCCTACATCCTGTTAAACACGACGAAACTGTATGCGGGTCGGACGGAAACTTGTACAATAGCCAGTACGTACATTTGAACGTTATTTTCATGTCCGCAAAGAAAAAAGGTAGAAAGTCTGAGAACATATGAAAATGTCAGTTTGTCATCATTTAAACTATAGATCTTATGCATGCATAAATCTTTGCACATATTTCTTACTAGTATTTCTTTTTCTGGTAAATTAAAATTTCCATATTTTAATGCTCTTTAATTATGATAACGAAAATAAGCTCAGTTTTGCACGTAATTTCTAGATTTGTTAAGACTTAGTCCTTGTTGCCTTGAAACACATCCATGCCATGTCCTCTCTCCAAACGAAACTGAAAAATTCCAAGCACAATAAGCAGGAGGACGGCCTATTATAATGTCAGATCTAACACTGAAGTTTAACGGAAATTGCTCGAAACGTTTTAGAACGATCTTTGTTGGCTTTTTATTAGTTTCATGGACCGAAATTATTGCTTTATCTTTGTATAAAAAATATTTTAACTTGACTTACAACTCAAAATTATTATTCTGAAATAACGCGACTATGGCAAAAAAAAGGGACATTACATTGTCCATTTAAATTCGGAACATTGACATATCTAATACATTAACAATGTTTGTTTTAACAACAAAATGGTTGTGTTTGTAATAAAGTTATATTATTTTATTCCATTCTCTTATTGTAGCTGTTCCTTTGTTAAAGCTCGCTGTTTTCAAATTCTCAATGGTCAATATGACCATCACCATCATCTAATAAATCCACTGGACACAGAACATCACAACTTTTGTACCAAGACGTATCATAGTCCATCGACTACAGCCACGACGTCGACGTCAATTCCTCACACACATGCTGTGTCAACAACCGGAAACGGAAGTACTAGCAAGGCGGCGACAACACAACTTCCGCAAACTACGTCCACACAAGCAACACTGACCACTACAGTGGCACCGATGACCGCACATAATATCGTAGGGTCGGTGTTCTGTCAGTATAGAGGCGTCATTGACTGCGGCTCGACTTTATCTGTGCTGTGCGGCACCGACGGACAATTCTACCCAAATACGTATGATATTCATTGAACTCTTTTATTTATAAATCAAGTATTGTCATTCCACTTTGCTTGAAGTTTCACTAATTATATATGTCATTTTACTTCCTACAGAGACTATCGGGGTTTTTTTCTCTAGAAAACAGTTCTAACATTCTAATTAAAGAACACTATGCCTCAGAAACAAATTGATTTTTTTTACTTCTTATGAAAGGGCAAACATGAATTTTATAATGTTTAAATAATGATTTTAGGGAAATGTTAGATGCTTGTTACCTGAAAAGTAACATTTCATGTGAAAAAATGAAATAATTTGTCATAAAAGTAGCAAAATGGAAACAAAGTACATGTAGTATTTTGACTCCCATACAAAATACTAATCCACTATAACTGTACTTATAGCTAAAAATAAAATAAGCTACTTTTGGGGTTCTATAAATGCACACTCAAATCAAAATGCTTATTAGAAATAAAAATAAAAGCATTTCTTTGGCATAATGGGTTTTTTAACAATGTTACAGTTGAAATCTCTATCCAATAAATTAATAATAACTTCATGATTAAAAAAGGACATGAGATACAAAACATCAAACAATAATCATCTAAATGCAAGTGGCTCTACTGACTTCAGTACCCTGCGCCAGCATTCACTTCGAGCTGCCGTGCCAGACCTTATTTTGTTGACAGTAAAATACTTATATTAAATTTTTGAGCCGCGCCATGACAAAACCAACATAATGGGTTTGCAACCAGCATGAATCCAGACCAGCCTGCGCTTCCGCACAGTATGATCAGGATCCATTCTGTTCGCTGTCAGTTTCTCTACTTGTTATAGAGTTTGTAAGCGAACAGCATGGATCCTGATCAGACTATGCGGATGCCAAAGCTGGTCTGGATCCATTTTTGTTGCAAACGCATTATGTTGGCTTTGTCATGGCGCGGCTCATTGAATTTTGAAATTCTTCAATTGTTTTAACTTTTACAATTCAAAGTAGAGCAATTTCATCACATGCTTAACAGGTTTACGGTGAGGATTTGCTTACTAAGAATGTTTGGTCAATTTTTTCATCATTTTGCAATCGGTAGTTCGTTAGTATCAGTTTAAAAAATATTGTTTCATTTTATGTTATGTTAAACATACATTTTGTTTCCATGGTTTCAGGTGTGAGCTTTTAAAGGAGCAGTGCGTAAATTTCGGGTTACAAGAGAATCCTGATATAACAAATTGTATGCATCCATAGAAAAATGCACATGCGCACTAGTTTCAATTTAACTTTGTAAACGGAAGTTAAGAAATAAACATATCTATCTTTTCTTTACTTTCATTGTTAGTAACTTAAAAGAATTATTGATCAAGCACATATCAAATACAACATTTCTTTATGTGCATGATTACACACCGTTCTATGACTCAGTGTTGTTATTTATGGTCCTTCGAGACCTTTGATTCAAATTATTTGATTAAATACCACTCAGTCCGGTGTTAGGTTGGGGTGTGGGGGAGGGGTCGTCGGGTTTGGAATGGGGCGTAAGATATATTGTACCTTCCAGGACCTCTCTATGTCAGGTTCGTAATTGGTTTAAGTTCCCAATGTGTGTAAATATTGAGAAGTGTCTATTTTGGAAAGAAGTACTTTTAAGTTACAAACGCACGAATTCCGCTTATTAATTGTCAGAATAAATTATAAAAGAGATTGTCTGGCAAATATTTTCTGGTGTATTTTTGCTGCAACTTCACAAAAACTTGTCCGAGCGAGAGTTATGTGAGACTGATGTAGATAAATTGTCACAAAGGTGGAGACACCATAGTGTGCGATGTTAAAGCATCCAGAAATCTTAAGTAAATATAACGGGGAAAAATAAATTAATCACTTATTCATTATTCATTTCAATAAAATGGAGAAAATAAGAATACGTAAAGAAAAGGCAAAACGGTAAAATTGAAATATTGAAGGCTCGGTTTGATTGAGTCTGTTCATCGCAAGGGATAACGTACAGTACTCGGTGTGTTTCTACATTAATTATTTTGTTGTTTCAGTTGGATGAATGTTGAAGACATTTAAAGCCGAGATTTGTTAAATTTCATCAGTTTAGTATTAATGTAAACAAATGGTAAATGTGTATTATAGAATTGAATATTATAATTATGCATATCTTAATACATGCCACGAACCGCAGTGTGCCGGGTGTCCCGCCAAAAATATGTCACCAATTACATGGAAGCCTTTTCAAATGTTAACTGGAATGACATAACTTCCTTTTATAGTTTTGAGTGCGTGATTTATCCGATACCGGATTTTGATTTCGCTTGTTCATGGACAATAATTATCAATACCAGCTACCATCATAACTCATGTAACATATATGACAAGATCGTTATAATCAAATGCTCAAAGCATGTATTATGTATCTACATTTGACTGTATTCATCCATCACTTATGAATTTCATAGTTTGACAGTTACATTTCAGTTTCTGAAATAACTTACAAAAGTTAAGTAAAACGTATAGGTATAAAATAAATGAATAATTGTAGTTGTAGTAGCTTTCTGAGGCCGTGTATTTTGTGTAAAAATTTGATATCTCGCTCGAGCTTTAATCTCGCAAGATATCCATTTTCCAATACCGCTGGTAGCAAAATACAAAGCTTCAGAAAATTTATATAACGTAATATTCCATATTAATTTAGTGACAAGTATCTTAGTGAATATGATCTATATAATGCATAAATATCACGTTCACATTTAATTTCAACAATTTGCAAGTATGCAAAGACTAGATGTTATCAAATGTTTGACAAAAACAGCTACGTTAATCACGTTCGCATTGACCCACTCACCATTTTATCATGCATCCGTGCATCCGCTCCTTCTACAAGTACTGTAGGGTCAACATAATCAACTAACCTCTCTCTCTCTCTCTCTCTCTCCCTCTCTCTCTCTCTCTCTGTAAATACGGACAAAGGTAATAAATGATAAGTTATTTTGTTAAAAGTTATGTCATGTACAAGCTATTGTATCATTTCACATCTGATAAAAAAGCATCACTGAACTTCCAGCATTTGCAGCATGTGATGTTCCAATATCATCCATTATTGGATCTAATCTGATCAATTTAAATAGATTAGTTTTGATTTTCCAAATAAAAAAATCCGTAGCAAATGCATACTGAGCTTCATCTAGCTTCTTTTATTCATTTTCAAAGTCCTAAAATTCCTTTTCAGATCTATATTATACTCGAAGCGCGTATACGTATGTGACCATGATAATTGAACTAAATTTACTCCATTGAAACTGGGTCAGTCTTTTATTATCTTTATACCAGAAAAAAAGTCATTTTACAGACAAAACTTGGTCAGACAATCTTTAAAATATAATTTTACTAGAAAATAAACATTAGCATGGATATTTCGTGTATTTTATTCCACATATTAATGATATCAGGTAGGTTCCCGTTTATGTTCTAAAATATACATATAATTTTACTTTATTTTCGAATGACCCAGAACCAAGCCACAGTTATGACATCATTTTCTAAGATGTCATGATGGAACTTTTCCAAAAGTAATATGGTATTGTACAAAGTTCAACTAAAATATAAGACAATAAATGATTATAAAATAATAATAATAATAGTCACGATAATCTTTTGAAATTGTGAATGTTACTAATAATACTAGTGGTACAGTAGGTTCCAAACCAATGAGTGTGTGTATGTACGGGAGTTGGGATATTAGGGGGGTAGTTGGATTTCAGAGCAAAGTAGGTGACTTCAGATCATTTAATTATTTGCCCCTTAGTGTCATAGATTCGAATCCCAACAGGGACATCGAATGATTTTCATACAAGGAAACTGTCCAGCTCCCTTTGGTAAATTGTGTTTTAAATATACACTTTGCTCAAATTTGATATTAGAAAATATTGCTAACTGCTACACAGTCTCTTTGTAAATATAAAAATATACATTGTACATTTTTTGACTTCACAACGAAGTTGATATGTTTTGTTTAAAATTCTTCATACAGTCACTCCAGGCGGTCACAATATGGATATACAGTGTCATTGAAAAACTGGCAGTTTTTTAAAGAAAAGGTCAACCTTACTCGGCCTGTAATCGGGAACGCAGCTTCCCATACATAGCTTATTCATTCTTTAATTTAAATAAGACATATTCAGTAAGAATTTCATGAAAATCAATAAATTTCTGTGATTAAAATATACACAAAAATGAGCATAGTACTATGTTTAAATAATGCGCGTACTGGCAGCTGAAATCTTTGTCGTTAAATCACCGTATGTTACTAAAATGACAAATTTGACTCACTGTTGCATCAGTTCCCCTACTTTACCCATAACGTACCCCTACGAACAAAATGCATCACAAACACAAAGATATAGATTATATCTATGTGTACCATTTTTGTATCAAATAAAGAAAATCACAACATAAAACCAACTATTTAACATAGTTTAATTTGTTGCAAGCGTTTAGGTTTAATTTGTTGCAAGCGTTTAGGTATGCACAATTAATACAACTCATTCATAAAATCATTCAAAACATCATCACTAAATGTCTTATTTCATTACTCCTCAAAATTAATCTATTCAAAACATCATCACTTAATGTCTCATTTCATAACTCCACAAAATGATTGTCCTGAATAAAATGTTACTGTCTCATACACTTTATAAACATGTATCACTATTTCAAAGTTCCATTACCCACAATCCTTTATCCATGAATGAATTATCAAATACATTACAGTATACAATTCAATATTAAGTATGAAAAACAAACTCATTCTGATTCATTCAATAATGCACCGTTCAATATTCAAACAAACTTATTTAATACATTAAAAGTATAGCATTGTCCTTTCGAAAGACAATAATTTTATCAACACCACATAATACTTTGTACCCTTATATATAAGCCATTATCTTAGTCAGTGTGAACATACTAACATTCTTAGCATTCAACCCATTAATTAAATTTAAAAAAAATAGCCTTCATATGTTGTACATGTGCTGTCCTAACGCTGAATGACCGCCCACAGATAAAATCGACTCATGTCGATTCAACTAACCGTAACATAAATTGTTATCGTTCTTAACCAATGAGGAGAAATTATTTTCCCGCTAATTCGTTACGCTCAAACGCGGGAAAATACATTTCCCCTACTTTACCCATAACGTACCCCTACGAACAAAATGCATCACAAACACAAAGATATAGATTATATCTATGTGTACCATTTTTGTATCAAATAAAGAAAATCACAACATAAAACCAACTAATTAACATAGTTTAATTTGTTGCAAGCGTTTAGGTATGCTGAATCAAAAGAACGGGCCCTAAATTAAATGCTCACACTGACTAAAGTAATATGCATACATTACAAATTATATTTCTTCACAAATTATAATTTTTCAAAACATATGCTTATGTATCATAACAGATTTTAAAATACTCAAACATATTAAACATAACATACTTATGTGTGCTTACACATCTTAATCAAATCCACCCATCCGCCTCTTATGCATTAGACAGGCATAAACTCATCTGTCAAAATAAAACTGATCAATCTAACGGGCATACCCTCCTCCGTTAAATTACAAACCCAAATTCTTAGATACTTCTAACCTTTCATATAAGGTATCTTTTATATAGCCATCTTTGGCCTTCTCACTAACCCATCGGCCATGCCTCTTGAACAGTCTATCTCTAATGCCACAATTAGCTGCTGCAGTTGCCCCCCCCCTGACCTTAAACTATGTAAACCATAATTATGTATGTCTTTTACATGTTTTTTAAAAGCTTCAAAAAATAACTCCCTCAATGTAGTATACGATATATGTTTTTCGGGATTTCGTAGCTGATAGCCTTTTGCAGTTTTTAACAAACGACAAAAAATAAACATTTCCGAGTTATCACTTATCTTAGCCCATGACAAAAATTTCTGCAAATTAACCACTGGACATAATTTTGTACCAGTTTTAGCAATTACCAACCATGCACCATCCCTATACTGATCAGTTTTACTTGATTCTATGAAAATACTCAAAAAATCTATATCAAAAACAATATCTGACCTTTTGATATTTAAAAGTTCACTACTTCTCATAAAACCTGCAAAAGCTAATAAGCATGCACAGATAATCCTTTGATTCTTAATATTTCCTACTTCATATAAATTTTCATACATTTTTTCTAAAATTTCAGCAGTAATTGGTTCTTTCTTTATAGTAGATTTAGCTAACTTCCTTTTTGCGGCTTCTAAAATATTTTTAACTAGAAAAGACTCAGTTGGAGAAATTTTACCGTAAATTTCATGAATAAACTTAACACTATAAAAAGCTTTGGACACAGGACAAACTGTATTAGCCGACTGAATTAAAGAACACAAGTATATAGCAAAATGAAAAGGTTTTGCTGGTAAAACGTCTTTGTCCTCTAATGAATTAGTTAGAGCCCAATTCTTCCAACGCAGGAAACCATTATTGTATGCTTTAGTGGTAGAATCTGCCCTTGCATTCTGCAACACTTCTGGGATCAAACTGGCCTTCTTAACCAAAACTGGCGGCAACTCCTTAATATCATCTTTATACAACTGAAGAAAAAGATTTATAAAAAACAATCTATTAGAATATATTGTAAAAACATTACAAATATTCAATATACTAATAAATGCATATTTCTTCAACGGGCATAACCTCCTCCGCTATACTCTAATTGACAGGCATAGACTCTTCTGTCACATTCATCAATATCAAACAACTATATCATACACTTATATGAAAGTTTATATATATTTAAATTTAACTTTCAACTTAAATATCAAACATTATACAGGCATAACTCCTCTGTATAAAATAATTTTAAACACCAACTGATAGAATACCAGAATCAACTTATCTGCACTTATATATTTAACTAGTCAGTGCTTATCTGAGCATAATTTCAATATTGTACTCTTAGAGCCAACATTTTGAACTTCAAATGTTCATTCCCAAAAATACCGCTCCCATTTCTGCAGGGAACATAATAACATAATACTCTTTCTGAGTTGGCAACTCAATGACATCCACAATATTATCAATAAATTTGTTCCCTTGTCATAACAAGGGCCAATAACTAGCTGATCTCCATAAAGGTATAATAAGTACACCTCTTGCTTTATCAAATTCCATTTTTCTCAGCACTTTACAAAGAATACTTATCGGAGGCACAAAAAACCCATAATAAGCTCCCCAATTTTCGGTAAAAGCATCTACCCCTATGCATGTTTCATTCCAAAATCTAGAAAAATATCTAGGTAATTTTGCATGATAACTAGATGCAAACCAGTCTATTTCCAACTGCCCCCATTTTTCTGTCACAATATCCATTATTCCTTTGGAAACTCCCCAGTCATCCCAGTCTACTATTTTTGACAAATAATCAGCCTTTTCATTTAATTCCCTAGGAATCCATTCAAGTTTTTAGATTAATGGAATTCTGTAAACAAACTGTAAAAATTTGGAATGCAATTTTTTGTAATTCTGCTTTCATAGACCCTTTATTAACAATTATACATGCAGACTGACAATCTGAAAACCATTTTACATTCTGGTATCTTAATAAATGAACTAAAGACACTAAAACCCTATAAATTGCAGTCATTTCCCTCCAACATGATGACTTTAGAGCCTCAGATTCAGACCACATATCATGTGCTACCCCATTAAGTGTACTAACTTCATAACCAGCAAATGAAGTATTACTTGCATCACTGTAAACAATTTTGGAAAAACTAACATTTTCATTTAAAAATTTATAATTAACAAAGGATAAATTCTGCTTCCAAAATGTTATTTGCTCTCTAGTTTCGGAACTTAACTTGATATATGAAAACCATGATGGTGCCTTCACGATATCCATACTCAAGTATCTTGTCATAATTTGTGAAACTTGACCAATGACTATAGACATTGAAATAATTTGTCCCACAAATCTAGCCACTTTTTTCTCATGTACCCTTCTGTGTACCCGCAAATCATGTTCTGTATCATCAACTGTATTAATTGTCTTAATCAAACGTCTCTCAGGGATAAAAATACAGTTTTTGTCTGAATCCAAACAAGCACCCAATATCTCTAATTTCTGTACAGGCACCCAACATGATTTTTCTACTTTAGGAACAAACCCAGAAAGAATCAAATCTGATTTAATGTCCCCTGCTAATGAACTAGCCTTATCATATGTACCTGCACAACCAAAACCATCATCAAGGAACATTAATGTTCTTTTTCCCTCATCACGCCATTTTTTAATCAAAGGCCTTGTTAATTTTGTGAACAAATAAGGCGCTGTCCTCAAACCGAATGCCATAACTAAGAACTTATAGTAATTTCTATGGCCATTCTCGTCCACCCATGAAAACCCCAAAAATGTTGTGTGT